GACCAGGATATATATATATATATATATATATATATAATGAAAACACAGAGAGATACGAAGACTCGTATGGTACGCACTTGTCCCTCACCATTAAGGCAGTAATCTTTTCACCTAACATGTTGCTCCCTAAAAGGTTCCGCCGTCATACCGATACCACCTGATTCGGTCAGGTGAATAACGGCTCACTTAATACCTTGTTGGGGAAGCCCCTTAAATTGTGGGCAACTCTGAGGCTTAATTCTCCATCCTAAACTGCTGCAAGAAACAGCAGATTTGTATGATTTTCTGCCCTAATTCCGGCACCACGATCATGTATGACTGATCCTTTTTGTAAAAACCCTTACACGGAAGTGTGACGACTGTCAAAGAACGGTATAGATGTTCGTCCTTAATGGCTATTCTTCCTTGGAGGAAGCTCCCAAACACATAGCACCCATTGAAAGGGATGACAACACATAGGAATTCATATACGACTTCTGACAGCTGCTGGAGAAGATACTTTGTCCCGTACCTAACAGGGAACCAAGAGCCATAATCTAGAGGGGTTGCGAACTTGGTTTCTTGAACTTTCACTTCTGAGCGAAGCATATGTGGCGAATCACCCGATAAATGTTTGACACCGTTCAGATGGATCGTGCTGCATTTCGCATGTGCGGTTGGTCCAGACTCCAGACGAGGAGTTATGGTGTCCTCTGATCAGGACTGTACCAGTTTGTCAGCATGACGCCTGTCATAAGCCTGCGTCGGGTAAACAAATATTATCTCAGGTTATATAGACAGCTGCTTGACAACCGCGTGGGGGCCCTATTTGGTACTCTTAGCAAGGCGCATAGACGAAACTCTGATACTGAGGATGACTTTAGTCTGTATTCATCGCACCCTTCTTGGAAGAGGGATCCTTATATCGCTGTATGATTACTAAGCATTGCTGATGTTCTACTGGCCATACTGATGAAGAGGAGTGGATGATGTACTGAAGTACTTCATATTTCAATAAGAACAAAACTGCATCACTTGTTAATCTTTCCGCGAGATCCTAAAAATGGCCTCTAAGTTAACGTCAGTCGATTTTTCTGTTTGTTTGCCGGAGTGAAGACATTTTTACGTTTGCTAGAGTTTCAAACATCGTTTCCTATTTCCTCTGTTGCATTATATAATTCTTACCTTGTGAGTGCGCAAGATACACGCTCTCTTTTAGTCAAGTCAAGCCACTTGACCACTGCTGCATGGAATTTCATATTCACCTCATAAGGTTAACCTGAGGTGTTTAGTATGACAGGAAGTGTTTGTTTGACATAAAGAGACCATGATTTCGATCCTCTTCGAGTCACAGATAAACTTAGCCTGCAAACCTACACGTATTACTCCTAAAACTTTCTTTAGCGAAACAACTTATTTACGGGCAAATTAAGGCGTGGTCTCCTAAACTGAGAAAGTACTAGAAGTTACGTGCTTTTTATTCCACAATATAACCCTCTATAAAGAGGCAAATTGTTTTACCTTTGTCTCAAAGCTAAACTTTTAGTCATGCGGTGGATTTAGAGTCATGTTGGTCTTTTTTATTTGGAAGGAATTTATGTGAAATAATTCGATCAGCCCAGAGCGGCTCTGCGACTTCAGTCAGTGCGCTAAAGCTGCGCATCAAGGGAGCAAACTCTTCAGGCAGAATCCCTTTCAGCTTGTTTGCCGAAGTTTCCAATAATGACGGGGCATTTCTCAAGAGGGGCTATTTTCCGTCAAGCAGAGATATGGTTCATTAGCCGGTCGACGGGATGCTTCCCGGGGCAATCTGTCAGGTGATTCTTCTCACTTTAGGGCTTCTCACCTGTGGTGTTCAATTATTTCTATTTATTTATTTAAAAACGGGTGAGATTCGCCTGCTTTTATTAGTTGTGGTGTAGATCACAGTGCCTCGCTCGCAAACGTGAAGCCATATAGTGACCTGTTAAATGTGAATAATTCAATCATTTGTAAATTTAGTGTCAGCTGTACGAAAAAGACATGAAGAATCCATCGATAATTTTCATTTTCCATGTAAAGCAACGGTCAATGAAGATACCAGAAAGCTTAGTCTCTCTGGGTCGTTTAGAAGTTCGTTTGTAAGTCAGTCGAAATGAGTGAAGCCTAAAGATCAACATTAAACTGTGGTCTCATCCATATTGTCTTTATCAGGTGGAGACGCCACGTTCCTGACAACGTATTTCAGTGTGAGACAGAATGCAATCACTTCAGGCATAGCCAATGCGGCCGTTGCTTGTGGGGTAATCACTGTCATCTGGGGCTTTATCTTCCGAACTGCCCTTTACCGACCACTCCGAATGCTCTTTACCAGGACAGCGACAGGTGTGCAACAATTCAGGCGGAGGCGAACAACAATCGTAAGGATTGACTGAGTCAACAAAAAGGGTCTCAATAAAGATACATCCTCCGCGGTGTGCGACCACCTTTGGTGTTTGCTGTTTGTCACGTCAAGCGATGTTTTTAACATACTGCATAAAATCTACTTTTATCGATGAACCTATGGCTTTTACAGCACATTCTTAAGAAGATAACCGTATGTTCTAACCAGCTCAGACCAGTGGCCTGGAGACACCAATGGTCTAATCTGTCAGCCTCCCTATATTCTCTGAATTTAGAGTTCACGTTTCTGACCCATAAAGCAGTGTGTATCACATGGCCACAGCATCTACTCTGCCACTGACAGACGAACTGAGGACAAGTAGGTGTCGGAGGTTGACAAAGGCTGAACTTTCCTTCTCTATCCGACAGGTAATCTCTACTCCAGCAAGCCTGTCGTATACTCCTACGAGCCCACAGGAGGTAGCGTACGGTGTCTTCGTAGGGGACATAAATTTGGAAGAAGCACTCCTGATCACCAGACACCACCAAATACCTGATGTCCAACAGAGTAAAAAAACCTCAAGCCAAGAAAAACTGCCAACTTTGAAAGTTTCAAAGAATGAAGGTGTACAAGAACTTGCCTCAATGACGTAACGAAAAAGGTCGTTCAATTTTAACACGACTTCGGTGCCTAGCTACCCTGCTACTCGAATAAAGCGTGGAGGTGGAGATAGTGTCAAGTTGCCAAAGCATAGATATGAGTAATTGAGATACTGCGGTTGGGTTCAAACCACACCTTCCAGTCAGAATGTTAGTGCCGTAACCAGGGAGCTTTCCCGATCTCAATTTGTTACGGTTGAAGAATCCCTAAAACTTAATTCGCAAGAGTTCGTCTCTTCCGATAATTGATCAACCTGTGCAAACTCATTTTAGAGAGCGCCTTGAAAGTGGCTGATACCAGGCTGATGCCATGATGATTTCTTGTGTCCGCTTTGAAGATTGCGGTGACGGCCTAGAAGCTACATCCAACTGGCATTCAGTTTTCGTCCCAAACCTTCCGTAGTATGAACTTCGGACTGCTCACCATGGCTTCACCAACTCTGGAGATGAAGGAGTGCAGCTCATCCGGGTGGGGTGCCTTTTGTGTGACTGGAGTAATATTTCGTACTGCATTGCTGTTATTGACGGCCGGATGGTTTCAATGTTCTATTCAGACACGTCGGTTTCTTCCGAACGGAGTGTTGAATGAGGCTAGCTGAACTACTGTTTATAGCGTTCAGTCCGCGACTCGAGACGAAGATTTTGGAGAATAATTGCCATTTTTTTATATTTCATATATTGTTCCGCTTATCGGCTAATCGAATCAGCTGAAATGGGGTGCTGGTCCCGGCAGCGAAGAACTATTTCATCTCTTAGACTTTCGCTATGCTTTAGACCTCTCTGTTACCCCTTGCTTGCTTACCCTTACCACTTGCTTTTTCTTATCCGAGATTTTGAGGGATCTGCGTACGCCACCATAACTATTAGCTGCTGGTATGGTCTTTCTGGAAGCAATAACACCTGCTGTCAAGTCGGACGGCCCGATCAGATACGACTAAAAGCTAAGGGCGTGGCATTTGAAGCAGCTTCCATTCAACCTTCTTCGCCATCAGAATGAAAAAGCTTCCAGCTGATGTATTTCACAAGATCATTGCAGTATTGAAGCTCCAACACCACGACAAGGTGGGAGCTCTATGTCGGTAATGACACGAAGTAAACAAATCTGTCAGAAACACAATAAAAGTGGGGAATGATTGTTGAGATACTTCCGCCGAACGGCTCAAACTTCCATTTCTGTCTGTTTGGTGACCTGGCTCCCGGAGATATAAACCCCCTTCCCAACGCTTCAGCGTCTGCAATCAGCTACTTGTTTTCGATTTTGGTCTCATCCTAATCGAAGCGTACTGTAGTGCTCCAGACCGTTTCACGAAAATGCAAGCACAAACTAACGTTGCAATATTTTAAAAAAATTAGTTTGAAGGCTTCACCTTAGAACAGTCTAGAATATTAGGTTTGTTTTTTACGTTTGCGTGCACTTCAAAAATGTCAGGGACTGTCTGACGTAGCGACGTGTATTCCTCGCTCATTTTTTGCCGAATTAGGTAATCTAGACCTTGACCAAACTTCGAGTTTGACGAAAATGACATGCTGTTAAGTTAACAAAACAATCCAGTGTGCTTCGAAAGACAGTAAAGTCATGATTTGATGAGATGCTGGCACCGCCTCGAATCAAGAGTCAACAAATCTTTATATCTCTTGCGTCCGTCTGAAAAGCAGATATCTGCAAGCAGCCAAATCCAATTTCACCATTTGTGTACTTTCAAAATTTAGGGATGCGCCCATCTAACAATATACAAGATATCTTGACTTCGGACTGTTATTTCCGAAAAGTCTGACTGATGAACTTAGCTAGTTTAGCAAGCCTTCCGGGATAATGATTCTTAGACTGAATACACCACTTGCTGGCGACATTAGGGGAAATGGATTCCACTTAATCCAAAACTATGGCCTACATTGAGTCGGTACTTCTCAGGTACTTCTTCGCTAGTCTGTTCATCAAGTTTGGTCTTTGGATTGTAAACATTTCATCACCAATCATGCGGGTTTATCAGGCCTTGGAACGATTTGGCGTCAGTTACTCAACTAAGCAGTTGCCTTTACTTCTGGCTATTTCTTCAATAAGAGCAACTGGATACAAAAACCCCAGATATATGATTTTTAATTGAGTAACTGAACAGAACTGATGTGGTAGACTGTATTAACTTGTTATGTATGCTCACGACAGCGGATTTCTTGTCCTACATTCATAGCAGTATCAAACCAAATCATCTCAGAAAGAACAAAACGATATACAAAACATTATTTTCTTGGAATCTTGTTCGAAAATCATAAAAAACGACCTCAATTTTCCAACATAGGACAACTCCCATTATATACAGTGAAATATTGTCAAATACTTCAAAGATTTCAGCTGAGTTTTATGTTGTCCGCTCCGTTCCGATCGACCTAACGAGTAACCACACGGTTCGACTTAACATAGTTGAAAGAAACGCCAGCCAAAAGACGGAGACTATAGCGCACGAAATTGCAGCTGTACTAATACCGGCTGCCATAGCATTTTGGCGGATGGCAAAGTAGCTGTTCATATACAGACCTTCAGAACCTGGACGAATAAAGAAGATCGTCAATTAAGCAATAGACTGGGTGGAAAATAGATGAGACCTACGTGCGCAAGGATGTGGGGCGCAGGAGGCATACTCTATGGACGCTCCAACGCAGTCAAACTTTTTCTCCACTTCCGGCTTCATGGACTGGCAGTCTCGTGAGCGCACACTGTAGCGGAGATCACCACACTGTGGTCTGCATTTGTCCCAAGGTGACCACTGTGACCAAATTCCAACCCACTGGTTGCACGACGGACCTTCAAAACCAGGCATACAGAGACAAATGGCCTGGATAAACGAAGCAGGAGAGTTCATGACACCTACTGTGAAACATTTTATGTTACTCTTTAAGAAATAGTCATTATGATATCTCCATACCTAATGAAACGCTGATGATCATATTCCAACGGAAAAGGGGTGTACTGTCAGTGTACAACATATCTATAGCAGCACCCTATATGTACACTAATTATTCAGACCGGCCGCTGCGGATGTCAACATCGACTATAATCTATTTGACACGGACCCAGAAAACCTGACAGTGAAGTTATGGAGAGGATGAGACCCATGTCAGGGTTGGCGTTGTTGTCGAGGAACTAAACTGAAAATAGTTACCGTAAACAATCCGCCGACGGTCATCGTGACCATCACTCTCTCAAATTATACGATGTACATGAAACCACCTTGCTCCCGGTGAAAGTCAGTCACAGTGATGAAGAAGCCTGGAAACCAGCATTTATGAGAAGTGAGACATGAATGTAGATGGCTAAAGGGGAATCAGCAGGATGCGTTATAGATATGAAGTATCTCACTAAGCGGTAACTGTATCTTAGAGAATAAACCCATGTACCAATATACTTTTTCAACCAGAATAAATAGAAAATATGTTTTAAGGTCGCCTCCATGGACCATGCAGAACGATGACATCCCACCTATAACTACACGAAAGAATTCAACTAGCCTAGGGCAGCAATACGCGTCTGTGTTAAATGGCCGGGGCTGTCTACTGGAATGTCGCTTTCTCTTAACAACGCTGCACCTGCCCACAATAGTTTCCTTTTGGAGTTAGTGGTCAGTATAACGTAGACTTCTATTCATCATCATCATTATCATTGACATCATCATCATTATGACCATCATCATCGACAGTGCAACGTCTGTGTACGCCTCGTCTGGTGAAATTGGACATATATGCAAAAGGTGCTGGACTGACTACTGAAGCATCTGGTCTGCATTTTTCAGCAACGAAATGAGATGAGTTGACATGTCCCAAAGAGAAGTCACCTTGTGAAATAGGTGTTTTGACCTCTATTCGACGACCACATATGGGGTTAATATCACCAAAATCGGCGGCAGAACAAATGCACAAAACTGTGATAGCCACTAGATGTGATATTCATTGACAAAATATTCCATAGTGTTTGAGTGGCTTGGCCTCTTGCTAGAGTAATAATCCAGCTCTTACAGCGTAACTGATTTTACACACAAGTTTCATTGTTGTATGAGCTACTCTATGGCTTAAATAGCACCAATTTTGTGACCTTTTTCGCGTTCCGATACTGTCCTTTAAACGACTTCATTGAAGTCTCCATATATATCCGACCTCATCCTTGCACAGGTATTGTCATTATCTCATACCGATTTCGATTAAAAACCACATCTTGTCTAAATGTCTCTCGAGAACAGGCCTTTTTTTACGTTTGAGTAGTTCCAGGGTCATCACGCCGATAAGTCGCAACGCAAGTTCGACTTACGCTTCTGGAGACCGTAACCCAAATAAACTGTCGCTGTCTGAAGGTGTAAAATAGTGTATCAGCCTTGAATTGGAGGGCCGTTTACCTGCATACTGTCTTCAAACTTTTAGCCATGGATACACTGACAGCATAGGGGGGCCTGAGTGCGTGCAACGTTTTCCTAACCACAGTGTACAAGCAAATGTTTGGCAACAGCTCATACCCGCCACAGCAGAAAGCGAAGCACATAGGGTTGAGGTTAGGGACTTGCACTAGGCACATTCATTCACTTTCTACCTTTGATAGCTCTAAACGTTCGAGAACCACAAAATACAGGCGTCTACAGTCCTTGTTGTCGTTCACCGAGCCAGTTCTCTACCAACTGGGCTAGCGCGGTCGGCATCCCACATCTCACATTTGCAGTTGAGCTAACGTGCAATCGCCATACCTGGTCCTTTAACAGCGGTCTTGGATTCCATTCTCGTACACGGACTTTGGATTCTGGTGACGTTTAGCTTTTGAGAGCACATTCAAGATTTTTCAAATATCTCTCTCACCTACATCGATCCAAAATTAGTGCCCTTTGATTACCTGGCCCATCACGGATGCCAAACGAAGGGTCCAATAATGAGTGTCACAAACGTCATTTGTTGATCTAACAGGCAGAAGTGAGGCGCTTATGTTTTTTACTCTCAGATTCCCCTCTTTCTCCTTACACGAAATTGCTGCAGCAATCGATTCGTAACTCAGTGGAAATGAGTCAACAACTCGGAAAATGTTGGAGTCATTTGGTTTTCAAAGTTAATTAATCGCGATCAAAGTGTTTTGGGGAAGCAGGATGCGTAGGTTGGGTGTCATATTGTTTCTTCGCCAGGTATGGCCACAGTGAGCCGTATCCGTACTTTTCTTCGTGTGCCCTTTTGCCTGCACATGGTGACGGATAAGAAAAAGTTCTGCTATATATGCTAGATAGATTTCAGAACAAAACTTCGGAGAGAATTTTGACCTCGCTAGCGTGGAGTCTAAGAAATGGGCTTCAAATTACGGTCTTCGGTCAACGTAACAACAAAGTCTTCCTAGTTCTAGGCATTCAGCTGACTGGACGATTCACATATGTAATATTTATGAATGTCATGCGCATAGCACTCCCGGTGCAATAAAGTCGAATTGTTTAGGCCAACTGCAGTTACTTCGAGTCGAGCTTTTGGATCTGCCTCGGCAGTATGTGTGGAGCTGTGTAGATGATGCTACACGATCCATTGTGGTTGACAACGTGGCCTACGATGACTGGACACGAGGGAAAGGAACTGTTGACAGGTCTGATAACTTTCTTTTTCTTCTCTTGAGCTGCCTGGTCGTTTGTCAAGCATATCTTGTTGCACAACAATAAGGGAGTAAATTGCCATGCTTGCACACGGGCAAGCTTCGTGTTTTTCGAATTTAGATTGAGGGCCTTGCCTCTAGTTAAGTGGGATGGCCGCCATTAATGTGCATCATGAGTTGAGTAAAGTCGCAAGAAGCCGTTTTGCAAAGGCGTACTCAAATAAATGAGCCTATTTCCTACTTTCGCGCACGCAGGATGTTGCAACACGTCTCCCCATATACGAAAAGTTCTAGACACCGTTACATTTCAGTCCGTCCTCAACTTCTGACGCGATAACCTTGGGAGAACAAATCTGTCATGCCTGCTTCTGTCTCTGAAATTCTATTACTCGCCAGTCATGCTGGGGTTTTATAGTCTGTCGAATGCATTGATTTGTCAGATTATTGTTTTGAAATTTATCAGCATTTAACTTGACTGTAAGCCATGTAGACGAAATAGCCTCTTCAAACGCCACAGTGTGTTATCCCGTCAACGATAAACTTTATTGCAGCCAGATTTCCTCATTTCCACAGCACCCATCAATAATACGTCATTTTGCACATTTAGAAGGTGGTGTCGCTGCGAAATCACTGTTTCATCGGGTTAAAACTACTGAATACAGACTCTAAAGTGGTTTCTTTACCTCTGCATCATTTGGAATGAATTTAGATGTACTACTGATGCCAGGGTATTCAGTCTTGGTCGTCAAAAATGCCCCAGATGGTATGACTGGCTTCTTAGAAATAATTCTCTTACATTTAGAGTGCTTCTAGTGCACTTATGTAATACCTTCAAGATGCATGTTTCGGATGAGTTTATAGACAAGCACAGCTAGATCAACCAAGGTTCGATTGCTCTATACTGGCATCTACAATGACAACTAACTCATCAACATGTCTGCAGGTGGTCTTTGTTCAGTTTCTAATATCTGAACACTAACATTTCGGTGCTAGGGATTGAGTCAAGAGTTATACTAGAATATTCGTGTATCTACGTTTCACTAGAGCTATCATTTATGGTGTTCGCTTCTCTATATGTAACTGTGGACCGCCTAAGCACTGTTAATTGGTTGTTTGTGAGTCCAGAATTTCTAATTGGTTTCTGTCTTTTGAAAATTCCTCTGCAAGCGCCAAACCAATTACAAAGTCTTGTTACTGTGATGCTCATAGGAAAAGATGAAGCATACGATATGCAGGAATTCAACACAATAGGATTCGGGGCTTGCATCTGTTGACACCTGCACCTTCCGTACAAACTGCTGATATTGAAGCTGGGCAGAGGTGGTCGCCTCGGAATAATCAGCACTACAAAAAAAAATCATTTCTTCCAAGTTATCGTCTACTAGTTGTTCCTTATTGTTGTTCAAAGAGGTATTCACCTAAACATAGCAGTTAACTTGAGAGTGTGAGCAATCAGGTGATAGTCTTCGACCTACTAGTTTGCCAGAAGCACTGGAAACACAACGGCCATACGTGCAAATGATTGAATCACACGCTGATTTTCTCCACAGACAGTTATCATATCCAAGTGTGTGATTCTTTTGCCAGTGAACACCGTCACAAATGCACATGTAATGCACTGTTCCATCTGCTAAGATTTGCCCCCGGCATGTGTTTCCGTTATGAACGTTACAGGCATCGTCTCCGGCCAGGACCATGCCACCACTGGGTAGCGCACTATGTTCAATCTTCTCAGTACAAGGGTTTTGTTCCTGCGAACAACTTGGCCCAGTGAATCCAGGTTTGCAAAGGCAGATGGATAGCTGAGGTAGGGTGAGACAGAAAGCAGCGGTAGTTGCAGTACGTGAACAGGATGCATCCATGATATTGAGAATTAAGGAGAACAATGATCCACCCCTGAGTTTCACGTGATATCTCATAAGTAGTCTTAGACTCCGCAAAAAATTTAATGTTTCATATGAATAACTAAGCTTCCAGCCATAAGTCGCCACATACTTTGGCATAACTGTCTAACTGGCATTTGAGTAAATCCGTCAAACTCCGCAAAGTGGAATAAAAATGATGAAGAGTTTTCAGCAACCTTATGAGCAATGTATTACGTCTACATAAAATATATATCGTGATATCCCAAATAACGTGCCAGCTGAAACATGAAGCAGCCTGGTGCAGCACCTTCAGCTGCCTAACATCATACACGAGAGTTTTAGCTGGGTTCCAGATGAATCTCCTTTCAAAACACAATTTGTTTGCAAATGAGTATACTTCGCTAGTTGAGTGCAAGTTGAGTTCAAGCAGAATCTAAAGTTGACAGAAGTTCTGGGACTGTAAGTCTTCCGTTCTAACTCCAAATGATCGTAGACAATTTATGTGATTTTCCAACAGAACGGTTCAGAAGTAGCCTGAAGGTAGAAAGCTCTAAATGAGGCATAAAGAGGATCCACCAATTCTTCATATTGCTATATTCGGCTGATGTACGCGGTCTTTCATATATAACCTCAAATGATCATTGATATGTACAGGACGTTGTGATAGGATATGTTGAATTCAGCTCACTTAAAGAAGAGATGATAAAAATAGGCAAAATAGAGACTGAATTTCGGCAAGAGGTCGTAGAATGTAAGCTATAGAACTACGTTTACGATATCGAAAATAAGTTGCAAATTCTGTACTCCCAACAAGTCACCGTAAATGAAGGGCTGATCAGAATCACATTGGACATTTTCGGTCCAACGCTTGTGAAGCACAAGGAAACTGGAAAAACTCCCACGGGATTTCGCGTAAAACCCGCCGCCAGTGAATGGTAAGTTTGAAGCAGCCACATTCGTAACGACTACCTAGCCATGAAATAGTGCCACTTTACCAACAAATACAATCCTCCGCATACCAATTTGGTTTTCTTGTGAGATAAATCTGAACCCCAGATAAACCTCTTGCTTGTGGTATTCTTTTTGATTAGCGTGAGAATAAAACCGAAACGGTGTTATTACTTTTCAGTTTTTTTGATAGTTAAAAAACACGCTGATTTGGGTTGGTTAAGTCATCTGGAATAACAGGCACGCGAGACCTAAGCGTATTGTCAGACGCCGGCCTATTGGTTAAGTTTTTCAGTCATCTGAGTTTCCGGATCCATTCAAGCATCGTTAATTTGTGGCCGTCAGGCTTTGGATTGATTCCCCATGTTCCGTGCAGTTGCGCAGCATCCCGCCATCGGAGTATCCGAAAGCGACTATGGGGCTGGTTGTTTGAAATCTTCTTTCGATTGCGCGAGCGAAAAGTGAAATCATTCGTTTCGGTATTCAAAATTCTAGGTCGCACTGCGGTTCTGTGAGTTGAACTCAAACCAATTATTGATTTCCAGAGAACGAAATGTCCCGCAACAACATACAGCGGATTGGCTACTCCCTACTACGCTTGGGCAGGGAAGCTCAGTGTCGAAATTCCTACATCAACTATTTCATGTGTTTTAGAGAAGATCGCATCAGTCTTTCGCAGTTCGCCCAAAATCACCTGGGTAAGAAGGACTTCATCGGAAATCTTCTGGTTTTATATACCACTGACTTGTACGCCATTACGCAACATCAGTAAACACTGGAAGTGTAGTGATACTAATACTTCAATGACAGAGATAAAGATAATGAATATCATGAAAGCAAAACTAACATACTTCGTCATCGATCGCCGAGGGATAACAAGAAAGGGTGCCAGTTTTGTAACACTTATCTTCACATTCTGTCGGTGTCCAGGTATTCGTTATCTGCATACAAGAGATAGTGAGAACGTACAATTCTAAGGGTGCATAAATCGCCCACGTCCACCGTTCACTTAGAACTCAACCCCTATCACTTGCATGCTTCTTACGAAGAATCCTTACCAGTCCCGGAGTTGCAATACCAAAACTTCACCCCACTTTTTTGTTATAGCAAATGACATTAGAAGAACATCCACACATGATATCTAAAGGACATCAGAGTGAGATGCGAAAACGTTTCATTCTTATACAATAATCAGATGTGTGCTGTGTACCCTAAGCAGGTGCCGTAAACGTGCATTCACAGATAAATGCACAAAACATTCGAACTGGTTCGAGCGTTTCAATGTGATTAACAATCTAGCTACTTATCTCCGATATGTTGTCCTTCAACAGATAAGTGTGCACGTTCGGCAATAAATCATAACCATAAATCATCTGACAGACGCTAAGGGATTATGTATTTACAGTCTTATTTTTCGGTTAAGTCCGTTGAACTGGTCTTCCACAGGGTAGAACAGAAAGCCCAGTAACGTGGACCACTTCACGCCCATTGATGAGCAACAGGGCGTAATAGGGTAGGTTACATGAAACTTTGGTTATCAACCATAAACTGTTAAACCATGTGTTTCTGGCCGCACTTCCAAAGTGAGGTTGGCTTTTGTCAGCTGTCAATTTTATTGCGCAGTCTGACTACTGTTTAATAGGTCAGGCAGACTGCGCTGGAAAGCCAAAAAGTACACGTTAGTCCTCATAAAACCAAAGTTTTCTGATTGCATGTTGAAAACTTTCTCAGTTGCAAGCACCAACCTCCCCTCCCGCGAAGTTGAAAGGTCGATTTCTGACATAACATGGACTTGCGATGTCATCTTCAAACCAGCTGCTGGTTTCTCAGCACTAAGATAGACAGATGTAGTTTTATGCTTTGTTCTACCGTGATGGGCCTCGCGCAAACACACATGCCCAACCGACCAGCTGACGACTACAGCAGTTGACGAACCATTGGTGTGTCTCAACATTCGGGAATGTATTCAACAAGCTACCGCAGTTTATTTCATTGTGAATACATCACTTTAGTGATTAGGTTAAGGTTACAGGCTCAAGCAAGACAACCCAAAGTGAATGCTACCAGATGTAATGGACTGGTACCTTCGTGTAATGTAACATTTGGCGGCATTGGGCTACTCACTGCGAAATACGACGAATTCATCCCCTCTTAGAATGTCGGTGAAACCTTCAGTTACGATCAGTGAAGGAGACATGCGCGATTCGAAACGCTGGTTCTCAGAAAGCGGTAAAGGAACAGCTTCTGTTAATCAGATTGTTCATGCTTTGCCTGTGTATGTGTATGTATGTATTTATAAACGTAAATAGGAATTTGGTGTGTCCTAATAACCCACCCAGTCAGAAACCAGTTCATGAACAGTGCCTCATTTCAAATTCTTCATCATAGGCTTTACGTCTCACACATGTTGCATAATGGCGATAGCTGCCCAAGATTTGTTCATTGATGATGGAAAGAAATACGGTTGATTGGCTCTCCATGGCCAGTAGCTTGTGGTATCCTCACCTCATAGGCCCAAAAATTGCAGTGAACTTTTCATTGTGGAAACCTGGAAGGGACGCTATGCACTGAGAGCAACAACTGGGACTCACGGACCCCATTGTTCCTTCCCCGAAAAGAGCCTTACTTCGGGTAGAACCTAATTTGTTTAACCGCAGAAATTGCGTTGAAAGCAGTTTGACTGTCTTGGAGTTCTTACTTGTTAGGAGGCAAGTAATAAAGCCAGCCTTCCAGTTGTGAGCTGTATATTTATGTAACACATCGAACCATGTGATGCTGTATACTAGGTTGTTCGAAGACCTTTGTGATGGAGAAAATAAATTTACAGTCAGCACTTACTCGCGCGACTTCTTTTACTGGCAAACATGTGGACATCTCTTCGTTCCATACCTGACCGTTGGGACACCTACAGCGGAAATGATGTGCAAATATCCCTCTGGGTGTACAGTGTTCCAACGCACAAGAGGTTTGAAGTTGACATGGGTTGGGACAAAACCAGTTGAACCGTTGATCCTGCTGCTCGTACAGTACTTTACAAATGGTCAGGCAGCTCATGGCGAACAGTGTGCGTGTGCTTTCCAGCCAGTCACCATTCTTACTGATGAAATTTATAAATAGTAGTGAATGATTCCGGCCAAATGTAGTATTTTCACCTGGTAGGGAGAGAAGTTTCTCAAACGCTCCGTAAAGATGAGTCCGAACCGTTCTGATACAAGCAACAGAGACATTGCCGTCCAGACATTCCAATCGCATAATGGGCTTGAGTGCGTTCATCACTTGTGAAGAAAAAAGTGATTCCAGGGTATGATATTTCTTCCCCAGAGTTCCAAGTGTTAAATCGTAATGTTCGAACGATAGGCGAGGTGGAAGTAGGTCATTGCAAAACGCATCGCGTAAGTTTATTTTCTGTGCCGAAGCGTTATCGAACAACGAAGAGGTAAATGCCACTCTTAAAAGCAAAGCATCAAGTATTATCCACACATGATCTAGGATACCGGGGGTAGTTATCATCCTAGTCATCTGATCGACGCGGCTAAATTCAAAACAGGATCGATCAAAAAGCTTCCTATTACCAATCATGGAACAGCCTGCAAGATTTCAGTCTTGATGCCATCTCGGCTGGAGTAACCTAATGTTAACCGCCAGTGTTTCGCTGTTGTGTGCTGTGAGCTTCTGAAGATACAGCCAGCATTTTACATTAATGGCTGGAAAGGAATAGAATGTCGATCGACTACTTTTTCTCGTTAAATTCTTGTGGTCCTGGACACAACAACTAAAAAAACCATGGAAGTGAAATATTCCAACTGGTCAGAGAAGCAAGTCTTGGACAAATAATAGCTGATCTCTTGGTGGAACATGCTACTCATGAGGCTGGTGAGAAGCTTTCTATGGCCGATTTTGCCCTTTCTGAGGATCATCAGGTAGGCGCATTCTCCTAACTACTGTGAACATTCTGTTCTGAATGAACTTTAAATTATGGGCAACTGGGAAGGTAGAGTCATTTGCTATGGAACTTGGTGTCAGCGGGGGACTAATTCGAAACCCAGCCGAGTCTCTCTTCTGTGATATCTCTCAGCTGATATTCCCCAGCAGTCCGGTCTCCCGTTAAGATCAGATCGGTTTGCAAAGGAGTGCACGGTACGAACAACTATACTGTGAGTAGCTGGTTCTTCTGCCTACTGAAGCAGAGCTTATCAGGGCCTTCGCTTCACTGAAATCTCAAATTTGGCTAGACTTACTGACGACAGCTGGGTGGGCGAAGAATGGAACGGGATGAAAGGTCCTTGTCAGTTCAGTTCATCCTAACTATATATACCAGCAAATTAGGCGGAATCTTTCCTCTGCTCTTGTGGTTGGTACCGTTCAAAACGAAAACACCCATTCTCTGCAAAATGAGAAGTATGAAAACCAAATAAAGTGGCACAGTGACTCGCTTTCTTGTCCCGTTTAAAGAAGAAATGTAGTACCTTAGTACGCAGTTCAAAACACCTTGATTGACCAAATAAAACTCTGAATACCCTTGGAAACTTGCAGATTCCCAAAGTTAGTTTGGTCTAAAAAATTGACTTGCGGTCGAGGAGGTTACCGATATCTCTGAACTGCCATACTGTACCGTACTGTGGAGGTTCACTACAGCGACCTGGAGAAGATTAAACGGTTTTTTCTACCCTGAAGGTAACACTGGTATACCCAAAGCACAACATCTCGGACAGTACGTTTTCAGGAAGATCAGATCGAAATACCTCGGTCCCAAAATTATTGGCATCATCAGCATCATCAGAGGTCCAAAAATCAGTCTTCAGGACTATTCAGGCTGGAAAGCATGTTCTGTGCACAAGTCACCCCACAAACACATCTGTGATACTGGCAACATTAACATATATCCTTCCAAAAGTCTTTGATCCAGACGTAATTAATATCACCAATCCAAAGCTGCATCTGAGAGTAAGGCTTCCATTGCCAAAGTGATGAGATAGAAATCATCTAGCTTATGAAAGTGACATTATAGGAGGCTTATACATTCACAAAAATGCCGCAAAGCTTGATAAAGATTGCTTCATTGGATGAAATACTTCACTCTACGTATGAGTTGCGTGGTCGAAAGTTTTGGCTAAATTAAACATACTTCCTTTTGCAATTAGCCTTGGAAGGCGTCCAAATCAGCATCAGGTTAGATTGTTCGGGGATTTGTGACTTCTTTGGAATCACGAGAAAAAGATATCAGTGAAATGCCTAGGCCTTGTATAAGAAAACACGAACTTTGGAGTAAGGAAAGTTTTTAGTATTTCTCAGACCACACTTCAGATCAGATCATGCAGAAGTCAACAAGGAGCTTGACCGTTTCACAAGAGAGAATTATCTATTTCAAAAATTCCAACCAACGTGGAAGAACCGTACTTTAAAGTTATTCTGAATTTGTCACCTGTATGTTACTCGAATGCTGCCTCACTTAACAAGGATAATGCTAGAATACCTTCAAACTCATTCAAGGCGATTGGAGATGATCTTAGACTGTTATTTTTCTAATCTTTCTATTTGATTTTATTTCACGTAACTTGATAAAACAACTAGCTACCGTAGTACCTTTCACACCACTTGGTGTCCAATCTGCACACGAAAATGCTACAAACGTACAGCGTAAAGCCTGTGCTTCTCGAGCGAGGAAACCTTCAAGGAAAGCCTGATCCTTGCTGATCCCGGTGGCATGCTTTTTGATGGGATCACTGCGCAGTATTTTCCCATGCGTCATTCTAATTCCAGCACAGGTGGCAATTTTTGGCTGAACGGACTAAAATGCACTTGACCCAGTGAATTCCTTTGTTAGTTGCAACAATTTGAAGCATTGAGGCCTTTTGCTAAATAAACCTACAAGGATACGATTCGTGTACTTCTTCATGTGTTTAGTTGTAAACGCCACGAAGCAGCCGCAAACCAAGCTTAGTGACGTTTTTGACCTCGCCAGGATAATTAGTTAACTCGGAAGTCTTCAAAACCTTGCCTCTTTTTCTTGCTACAGGGATTTAGACCTTGACACCAGCACCAGCCTAATTGTCAGTACTCTGGGAAGCTTTGAGATGCAACGCTTGGAATGTTGGGAAACAAGCGTAAAGTTGAACTAACCCAACATAGACGCGACCACGTGAAGCTGCGTAACATACAAACGCACCTACCTTAGTAGAACTGGCCGTGTGGGTTATCAGCGTACCCCCGGTTCAACTGGTAGACGTAATCTTTTAGAACCGAGATACCCTTTTTTCAGTTCCTACTAACTACCTCTCTGATATTGTCATCCTTAATGCTGTGTTAATGGGAAACGTTCACATAGTGTCTCGGATGAGGTGCAGCATTGCGTGTAATTAACGGATTGTCTGATGACGCCGGTGCATCGGATGTGAAGGGGCGACTAGTCCGGCGCTCATTGCTACATCACTCTGTTTGGGTTGGTTATCGGCTTGCAACAGGCCTTTGCACGTTCGCCTGCAGATATTAGTCCCTCTGGTTTACCTGGGCTCCAAGGACTTGCGCGCATCACAAAATTCGGCTCATTACAAACGGTCTACAGCTTTCTACTATGCGCGCGTCCAGTGGTTTGACTATGACTGACCAGCAAATCCGATTCGGATGTCGGAAGGTGGAGGGGTTCCCGCACACAGTGGATACTACCCGATTTCAGGTCTTCTTTGTGTTTAGTCGGAGACACAGTAGGATACGGTTGCTATTCGATGCCAACGACGTTCTCACCGTCTCTCTTCATGTTGTCTTGAAGGCCAGTACTTGGTTCTTCCTCCTTCTCTTTTATTCTTTTCTAGATTAGGGTCTCACCTAGATTACGAATTGACAGCAGTGATTCACCGGCGTTTAACATAAGCGAGATGCTGTAGACGAAGAAGGTGGTAACATATGGGAAATAAACGTATTACTCCTTCTAGAGATATTTCGTAGCATTCCCTTAAATTCCTTGAGAATCACCCACAGGTCTTGGTGAAGTGACAGTTCGATTGTGGTAACAGATCTGTGGCCATTTTAAAACAGCTCCCATATAACTGACAGTACTGAACTGCTTGCATTCAGAAAAGATGTCCATGACATCAGCTCAATGTTGCCGACTAATCGTTGTCTCCTAGTGTCACTGTTGGTGCGATCCCTCACTGCCTTTGTTTCTCAATAGCTGATTCAAATCAAATTTTCTTGACAACATCAACCTAAACCCTTGGCGTTTGACTTACCTCCGAGTCTTTCATCAGAACGTTACCTAGTTAGTGGACTCTTCATCGGTATGTTATCAGAACAAGTTTGTCCAGCCACTCCTTTGAGTATACCTTCTTTTAGGCACTGAACCACAGACTATTCTGTAAAGGGATCTGTTCGTTAACTCCCGCCAGTCAACTGAAGTTGGATAGCTGTTAGAGGCTCCTCACAGTAGAGTAACTTCTTATGGTTTGAACACAGTGTTTGAAGATAGTGTTACTTGTGTATACGTCATTATGGAGAGTATTATTTTCGAAATCAAAACAGCGAATGAGAATTGTTCAGTACGTAAGTGTTCTTTGAAACAACTAAAACTCAATAAATTTATAGGTGTTCACTAAGTTAAGGCTCACAGAGGGCTATCGCATTTTGTGATTTTGTGTAGGATGTCTGCTTCATGTGGTCGTCGGCTCCGTTTGATGAACAGCCGCAGGTGTTAGCGTTTATTCCACAATTGTGACTACAGCTACATTCTTCTCTGTTTCTCAAAGCGGCGTGAACCATCGAAGGTTACAAGTGTGCAGGTATTTATCGTCGGGAGATAAAATGTTGTGAAGTCAATCTGAGGCTACAGAAACTGTTGAGGCCTTGAGTGGTACAGTGTTTTGGGACTCTAGTGACCCGCAAATAGCTGGGCTTCTTGATGGCGTCGAGGCATCTATTCCGTGACAAAATTAGTCTTGTGCGACCATCATTCTACGCACAAGATCACAGTAAGTGCTTGATTGTGATTTGAGAACAATGAGAGTAAATTACCAGCAAAGAGTGTGTAGGACCTAGTTGTTTACTTGAATCTACTAACGAACCTTCAAAATCCCAGGTTCCAAGCCCTCGATGATGCTTCCCAGATAAACAAGAGCGAAGCTGGCAGCTGTCAAGATGGGTGTTTTAAATTCTGTTCAAGAGATTCCCACCTAAGGGGAGCATTGGGCTTGAGTTTCTCTTCTATTAGAGTTAATTAGCGGTGGATATCCCAAGCCGTGCCAGGGTTTGAAATCCGGACATCTGACATAAGGGGCGAGCATTACTCCGCCAGCGCATGCTCGACGCATCTGATTTTTCATGTCTGAACAGGCAAATCTATTCACACTTAAGCGATACGGTTGGCTTACTTGACTCCTTGGACGGCCCAGTGGCCGTTTTGGCTGTATCGATCGGTTGACCCGCCTGTCAGGGCTTCCCAGTCAGGTAGCGCCAAGGTCACTTGAAATCCGCTGGACAATTTTTTGTTTGTTGGTGTTTAAGGGGCTCGAAGAATTCACGGTCACGTCATTCTCGTAACAATTCTAGTGAGTTCACACTAAAGGGAGTGAGTACTGAACTCAAGTTGCTTTTGGGTGAAGCTAGTGGAAATACCTTTGCCTCGCATATCAGATGTCCGGGGTTCAAACTCCTGCATGGCCAAGGACATGCACAGCTGATGAGTCCTAATCAAAGCAACATTCAAGTCCAGTGCGTCCCCCATTTGGTGGGGACCCACGAGACTAGTTGCGCTAGGACAGCTTGTTTGGCAGTGTTTCATATAAGACTTTAGACCCTGAATTGAACAGGTATCCCCCTGATCAAGGCATATTAGCTGTTCCACCGCCTATTGTCTGACCCAAGGTTTCAAACCCATTGGTACACACGCGAAAGGACCTTGTGATTATCCGTCCCAGTACCCCAAGCATATTGGTGTTAACAAGAAGACTTAGGGTGAATGGAGACAAACACCTCACTAAGACAGTCGGTTGCCTGACGGAAGATTTAATCAATCAAATGAATAGGCACGTACAGACGATGGGGTGTACGGATCGAACACAGTCAGCTAATTCACACACAAAATACATTCACTATACCTATGTCAGGTTGTACCACTACTGTGTTGAAAACAAAAAATCTACGACATCGACTCGCCAAGTGACTGAAGAAACTAGGTGAGCACTGCGTGGCTAGAACCATCTCTTGCGTAAATTGGACAACTAAACCAACAATCGTTTGCCTTTTGGAAAACGGTGAAACAAGACGAAAACCGCATGAGGCAATTTTATACTGCCAACTCTAAATGCTGATGAATTAAATAAGTTGGGTTCTGGACAGTTTCGCTTGTAGATTAGGTGGTTGTTTACCTGTTCGCCGGGCTCGTCAGTTTCCTCGCAAATGTTTCCCTACCAATGGTGGAAATATAATCTTTGCGCGTTGAAAATTTTCATTTATATGACCCTGTAACCGGGTATTTCCGCCAAAATAGGCAACCACAAAGGCCTCGACTACCACGAACCTGAATGACTCGCTTGCTTCCACGACACTCCAGGCGGGTCACAAAACAGATTTATTCGGTATCAGCGTTTATCCCAAATTGTCCTTCTGTATTCGCAGTTCGGGACAAAAAGGTAACACTTCACAACCACTGACCTCGTTCCTTACCACAACTCTAACCATGTTCTTTCATCACATTCGCTTTTCTTGGCTCCATTGATTATTGATTCACTACCTGTTATCATCCCATTTCACTTCCACATTACTTACTCGACTCACTCTTTTCTGGTGATACCCTTCCACTAGCTATTGTATTTCAAGTGGTTCTCAATTTGTTAGTAGTCTGACTTGGAATTACTGTCCAACTTGTTCTTCACTTTTCCAAACTTGGTGAACATTTCTCCCCAGTGAGGTAGGACCACATTTACCTCCGCTCTGTTGAACAATTTTATTTTCATCAACGTTGGTGAAAGCACCCCACCCCTAACTGTCCCGGTGACAAGGGAGACGTGTCCTTACCGGCAGTCTGGAACATCAAAAAGACGCGCTTTTACTGACCGCCGGCAAATGTAATACGTTCAAACTGAAACCCCCGGAAGATCTAATACCTCAAGTTTCCAGAATTTCCACTCTCATTATTCAAACTTACTCTACAGCCTCTCGCTTTCACCAACCAGCACGAGAAAGACTTACCAATCCGTCCTCTCGCTCGAAATTTCAGAGCTGCTAGCTCGGATGTCTTTCATAAAGTGAGTGAATTGGGTCAGCGATTCACTCATGTCGGGAGTCTTACTCATGATTGATGATGACATGCGCCCGACGATATTGCACCCATAATACCGACGTGAGATGTTTCAACAGCAACAGCATTTCCCCTCATTGGTATGTACAGGATAATATCTCTAAGTGTATGCACTTCAATTTAGCAATCGTTTGAGCTCAAACAAACTCGGCTTAAGTGCAAGCCCTATTGGAAAAGAAGACAAATGTTTATGTTGAATCATTTGGCCTCTGTTCGAAGCAGACAGTATCGACTTCATTGAGCTGCAATAATCATTTTACCTTCACGAGTCATACAGTGATCACAGCTAGGGAGGCCCGTTGATTGGTTCGTGTTTTATACCTCAAACGTGCGGCAGAAATCCGCTATCCGTATTGAAAACGAAGTGAATTTCCTCAATAGTATGGGGACATTGGTCAAGAATCACCGAATGCTCACTTTCGACCACCGTTCTGGTCTGATGGGTTACTTTCAATACGGTTTTTCCTGCTTGCGCACTAACATGTCACTCACTTGTATTACAAATGTGCAAAATTAAATTGGTCTTATTGTGCGAACCTACAAAGCCTCAAATGAACCTCTCACCCATATACCAATGGTAATATTTGTTCTCGGTTGGAGTGATCTGCTTTCACGGTCTCCGAGAAAGTTTTAGTGCATACAAACAATAAGGCCAGTTGAAGAGAACACAAGCACAACAGAAATCCTGTTGGATTTCGGTAATTTTATCCTATTCCCAAGATAAATTTCGACCTCCCTAAACATATACCGTCCGTTTTGATTGGAAAAACATCAAAGGTACCAGTGAGACGAATTCAGTTTAGTATCAATGTTTTTTCCCAACCTATTGCTGAAGTTGGATCACTCGAAATGAGACAGTTCTGGACGTAAATTCCACGAGTAGAAGCGCGTTTTCGACAAGTGTTCTACATGCCAAACAACTATGAAACTCGCGTCTAGCTCTGCTGTGTTACTGAAATTGATCAAAATCTTTTGAACCAGACAACAAGGCACTGAGATTCTAAACTCCAAAGAACCGCATCACGGCGTCAGTCACTTCGCTCGATTGTTCAAGCTGTTTTTGAAATGAACTGTACTTTAACGTCTCCTTCGTCATTCATGCAAGTGACAAGTGCCTCAAAAGATACACCTTGCTCCTGCCACATTAATCACGATGAACTCTGTTCGCCAGTATTCTGATAGGGACGCTTTTGAAGTCGCCAGCCATTAATGGTACTCATTAATAAGACTACTCCGCATTCTGAAACATCTCACTGTCCCATGCAGTCTAGCGGAACCCGTTGAAATGAGGAAACCTCATTTAGATGGGTCGATGCAAATGAGTCAACTTAAGCGATACCGGAACCAACACCATCCTGTATTAGCATTTGAGTATGGCTTAATAAAGCGGCTGTACTAGGTGAAATCTATGTGATATGATGTATAACAGCGAGATTTTGACCTGAAGATTTGGATTATGTCCATTCGTTCATGCCAGATAATAAGTCCGCGTTCAGTATTAGGATTTCTCAGATTCTTTCAGCCAAGAACCATGTAGTTGAATACGGTGATAGTGATCATACTGCGGTCACCGAAAAAGATAAAAGTTGAGAGTGTCGAGGAGTGATCGAGTGAAGAGCATCAATGGTTTTGTATGACCCATTTCGGTGAGCGTCTTCGATCACCGGCGAAGTGAAGCTGTAGTCTGATACGTACGTCATTGAGACCCAAAAGTTCCTCATTTGGATGATACCAGTGGAGCACTGCTGGCCTTCAAGAGGAATGCGTTCACTTCCTGTCATAATGCCATCAAAGCTAATGCGACTTCTGAAATGCATTGTATTCCACAACTTCCAGTGTCATTCCGTGATTTCATACAGGCAAAGTTGAAGGTTGTACGTCCCGCAGAAAATCTTCTCATTGTATGGACGTGAAGAAAATGCATAAGAATTGGACAACCTTGGCTAGCCATTTTAGTAAGGCTTGAGCTTCCTGCTCCCCCTCGGATCTGAACACCGGGGTTCCTGAGACCTTTCAGTGTTCACTTCATTTCTTCATCAATGATGAGACCAAAAAAATGGACCGGATATCCTTGTCTGACACAACTGCTTGTAGGCAACCAGTTAGTGAGCTCTCCACACAGTGAAGCGTCCAGGAGTATATAAGTACAAACGGCGCAAGAAATTTTGAAACCCACCCTGTTGCAAAGAACTTACTAGTCGAAAGAATCGAACACGCTTTTGAATCCCACGAACACCAAGACTGTAGGGCAAATATACGCATTACACTGCCCTAGCACTATCTGAGAAGAGTGATCTAGAAAACCAGTGCGGGTCAATAAATGTGTCCATTATCAAAAAGGGTACCCGTGTGACGGCGATACTACTGATCGGGAGGCACGCGAGTAGTATGTGTTGTTCGTAGAATTTCGCTCTGTGTCGATTGAAAAAGGGAATTCTGTTGCGGAGTTCGTGGGGCCACTTTGTAACATTTGCTTGGATCTGATCAACGAATGGTTGGAGGCAATGAATCTCTAGGAAGACTCTTTCGGGAGATCTGTGTCCAGTTTTTGTAACTAAGATGCAGATTAGAATTTTGCTTCCCTGTTCTATGGTCTGTAACTGGTCAGTTGGCATTTCTGAATAAATAACTCCGCAGCGAAGGCCTTCTTCCTTTCACCCTCAGTGAATATGATATTCCCAGAAGTGCCAGTTTGACTGCCACTTTAACAAGAAATTTAAAATCGCTGATTTTTTTTGCCGTCTCAAGGCGTCACCGGACCGTGAGCAACAAACGGAAGTTTCGCTGAGTGGTGGCTTTGTAGACCACAACCTCACACTCCGTCGATGGCGTTCGTGTTATCATCTTTCCACATTTCCCGATTGAGCGTCTGGGGCTGTAGGCACCTCATATTGCTTGTGGTAAGTTACATACAAAACCCTTCGCCATCCGGCCTTTTTCACTTTAGAGCTTTAACTATTATGGTGGCAAAAGGGGAACGATGGGCCGGAAGTGATCTCCAAAAATAGATTAATCGTTTGCCTTCAGAACAAAGCGATATTGGTTAACATGTCACAATGCCTAAAACCCTTATCACTACGTTTGGACGACGAACTATTTACGTGCCATAAAATACACAACACTCGACTCCCTTCAAGAAACTCGGACCAGGTTCAATCTACATCCTCTTATCTTCAATAGGTCGTTATGGTTCAAAACCATCGCTTGCCTGTCCCTTCCCCTCAGTTCCTTCAAGGATTGCCTTGACTCAACATATGCATTCAAATAATTTAGTAGCAAGGAAGTAAAAAGCACTCGTGACTGATGGAAATAAGCAAGTTATATTTACAAGAAACGAGTCAAAAGTCCAGAAATGCATTGAAAAGCTTGCAGTTTTCCGGACTGATGGAACCACCTGGTCGACAGTCCTTGCGGCACTGAAGAAAAAGAACAGAATCTACAATGACGAGATATGCACAGAGGTCCAAATGACTTTTAGAAATATGATCGAATACTGCTGAATGATAACACAGGTCACCCACTAAGCGAATAATGTTATGCTAACAGCGGTAGTATATGGTACTGAGAACCATTTGTAAAAATAATATGACGAATCAGTGAACGTCCTCATGATAGAATACCTTCATACCCTTAGAGGGCGGTTTTCCCTCGTGGTAATACTGGTATGACTGCGCAAACAGGCTCAAAACACGAAAAAGGTATTCTCAAGGATAGATAAACCTGAATCGTGTAACCTCAGGAAATAATTTTTTATTTCTAATACGAAGGAGTTAAATGCATCGATTGGCAAGGTGACACTCAGGACTAAAAATCTTCCTACTTTCAGAACTGAAAAAGTGCGTGAACTGACTAACCTCCGAGATTTACCACGTTGCTTGAATTAATTTCGACTTTAAATTGCGGGCTTGTTGACCTTTGTATCCGCTCCGAGCATCATGTTAAAATTTTAAAATGAATTTTAAAATAAAGCTCCTGCGGTAAAGACACTCAGCTCACCCACATTGTAACTTGACCTGAACCATTTAATGGTCAGTTGTTGAGTGCATTAAGTCAGACCCAGGAAAAATCTATTTTTCTGGTCCCACTAGGAAGAAAACAATTGACAGATTCGATAAGGAAAACGAACAAAAGGCGTCTATCTTACCATGCACACTGTACAAGGGAGATGTGCCAGCCCAGCTGTGCTAGCAGTTTGAGGAGCAAGACGATACATGGTGCGCATAGGAGAAAGACACCCACTGGACGCTGAGATGTTCCGGTCAATTTCTGAAGTTATGCGACTTTCAAGTTCTCCACCGTACTTCAGCGCATCTAGAACACATTGTACATCTTGCAGGGTCATTGTTACCTTCAGTGTCACGGCCGTCCGAAAAAGCATAAAACAAGAGCTTAAGTTGATTGTTACAAGCGAATTTCAAGAAAACGGACTAAGTAGACACAAATAAAACAGGTGGGAACATCAGATAATATAATAAAAAAATTCAGGTTGCTTCAACGGCTTTCCTTTTCTACCACATAACTCTTGAACTCAGTCTTCCCCAATGTACAACAAATTTTAATTAACAGTCGAGAGTCTGGCAGTCAAAACATATAATCTAATGGTCGAATAATCACCGGTAAACTGTTCTTAAAAACACGTTGTAAGATTCGGGCGGTTAAGGGTCCTACAGGACGATTGGAGCTATCGGACTACACGCCGTTGGTATTCAGTGAACTGTAGGAACAGACGGATCAGGGCAGTAGGTGCTGTATTGAGAACTGGCCAATCAATAATAGTGCAATCGGTAGGGAAAAAAGGACAGTGAAGCGGCAGGGCTTTGGATGGGGACAGTCAGACAGTGCAAACAGGCCTTATACAGAGATAACGGTGCAGAAAACAGCCAGCACTTTTGGAAGGCAAAGGAAACTGTCTAGTCTTTAGCCGACGGTGCGACGCAGCACCACGTGAAACGTGTCAGATCGGTATGCGCACTGAGGCGCGTTTAAAACAAATCTCAACAAAGACTATCGGACAGAATGTAATACAAACCTAAGTCCAAAATAGGACGGCGGAATTCTAGTTGGCGCAGGGAATAGTGCGCTCGTCTCTCATTCGAGGGTCCAGAGTTTTATAGCCGGTCGAACCGCTTTTCTGTCGGAGCAGACACTCAGAGATAAGTATTGATGCGAACTTGCAAGCGAAGATGAACAGGCAACAAATTCTTGACATAGGTATCTAGGGCGTAAGCAGAACCTAAGCGGGAGCGAACCAAGGAAATGGGCAGCAAGGAAGCGAGGTGGCGTAAATCACGCTACTCACGAGTAGTCAGAACAAATAGAAAAAATAACCACCAGCCACTGCTGATTCGCAGGAGAAATCAAAACACGTAGTGGCAAACAAAGTATAATACAGGCGTATCACATTCAACCGTAACAAGATGATCCAGGGTTGATTATCACTCGATAAGTAGACGATAAGTGGACACATAAAGTATATCTTTTGGACTAAATGCTCCACCAGTGTTCCCCGATATAGACCTGTGTCATATCACTTCAGTAGGGTTTTGCAAGCGAAGCAGGACTTTTTTGGGGGAAAAATGTTCACATCGCACTTCCTGGACCAAAGCTTCACACCCAAAGTGCGAAAAGTGTTAATTCGTTCAGCTGTATTACCCTTCTAGTACATTACTTTCCTGCTATCGGAAGCGGGTACGAAGGAAGGAATACTGAATTTGCCCAAGCCCAACAGAAAAGCCAAGAAGTGTATTCAGACTATGGAGTACCCGGTCAGGAGTTCGTAGGTGACCACCATGCTATTTTAAGCTCATTTTCCATGGAACTAACTACCCAGTTTACAGGGTTTCAGTTACCTACGTGGCCTCAGAACTCCGTCAGCTCAAGAGCTCTCTGTTGGTGCACAACTACCGTTCTCAGAAGGTTTTCGGAAATTCATAGAAATCGTTCAGCAGTAGCGCCCTTTAGGTGCCTAACCGCCATGTCATCAGAAGCATGAGGGCTCGGATACTGGCAGGTTGTCCAAGCCTAGACAGGGAAGTCGAGATGCAGAGGTCGGGTTCGAACCACGGACCTTCCGGTCAGTAAATTCGTGCTAGGAGCCACTGAGCCGACAAAATACTGATGGCTCGAATGTGTCAACTGGTTCGCCAAAGTTGGCAATCTCATTGCAAATGTCTTGTGAACAAAATTGAGGACAGCAGTGCACGCTTTGATTAGTACTTCCTCCTTGTAGTTTGAAAAGGGCAGTTGATATTTCTCGATGCGACCAGCTGATTAAGGTTCACCTTTACCATAATTTCAAAGGTTCTCTTTACAATTTGCGTTGCTTTGTGATCCGCATCCCTTACATTTGACCAGCTAGTTGAGCGCTTTATTTCCAGTAGACTTCACCGAAGCTACGGCTGGTCCGTTCACAAGCCGCAGTGTTGTCGTCTGTCTTCATCCTACTTATCTGTCTATCCAAATACTTAATTTTAGCAGCCCTCTCCCTGGGGTTTGTTTGGCTCGTTTCCAATTTCTGGCGCGTTGTTTTGATTTCCTTGAGCTTTGTTGGCTTGTTGCACTTTCTCGACTTATTCCTCTTCACAGCGACCGATTCTGCGTTTGACAGGTTGGTCGAGCTTGGTTTATTGATTAGAGACATACTCCAGTGAAAATGATTTAGCCCCTAGAATCCAGTCCCCCTATTTCCTTCTGATCCCTTGTGCAGTCTGGCCTTTGTAAGTTTGGAGTTCCATTATCCTTCACTGCAAGCAGTGATGATGTCGCAACGATTAAGGGCGAAAGGATTAGAAGCAAACTGCCAAGCTCGGCGAACAGATCAACAGGCACTATACAACGTTTTATTATGAACCTAGACAATGTGATAGAAAAACCAGAGGCAGGGTCGAACTATGGTACTCACTGTCAGCAGTCCGTGTTTCAACTGCTGAGTTAATCAAAATGTCATCATCATCATCATCATCATCATCATCATCATCATCATCATCA